AGCCCCAACTTCTCCTCCCCAGTTCCGTCGCAGCGACGCGGCGGCGCCTGTTATTTAGGAAGAAACTTTCCCCTTGTATTTTGGGGGATGCAGGAGGAGGGGGCGTTACAAAAAAACAAAACAAAAAAAGCGGTGGAACAAGAGGAAAAACTGAAAAAATTAGTGTCCGTGCGATTTTATTTCCTAGTTGCAAACAGGAAACAGGAGTTACCCATCTATGGTTCGCAGTCTAAATGTAAGACACGATTTGTCCAGTTTTGAAACAAAATGGAGTCCAGTCTGGATGTGCACGAAAATTTCCTTCTAGCAACAAAATTGTCTGTCTAGTACATTTAAAGAGCGTGTCTGCTCTGACCACTTTATCAATTTTCAGTATATGTTTTGTTTCCAAAGCATTGGGTGGTAATCGGAGAGGGGTCTAAATTCTGACCCAATATCAATGAAACGTTTTCAAAGCCGTTAGGTTGATAAAATGGTGCACGTGTGTTGCAGAAATCTCGACCCGATTTCTACCAAACGCGATGATGTCACCATGACCCCTTGCCCCTTCGTGTTACTTGCGCCGGTGTCGCGATTTCTGTTATCGCTGTACGTGCAGCTTCAATAGCTTAATCCGTGCCGGCGGCCACCTGGGCGTCACAAGAGGAAGGAGGGGGGGGGGTAGCTTGTGCACAAAGCAGTAATGGATATTTATAGAAAAAGCAGCTGGGGCGGTGAACGGAAAGAGAACGCCGATAGGGTATACGTGCTTTGTTGGCGGCAAGGTGACCTCCACCGCTAGCGGCCGCATGTTAAAATATTTTTAAAACATTCGGCTACCCCAACGAAAGAATGCAAGTTGTATCTAGAACAATTGCTAGTGAGGGATAACTAATTATTCACACTGATAAACCGCTTACCTTGTAAGTGTGCAAATGCAAGTTGAATACTTGCAAGTATTCAACACCGTAGTTGTGCACTTGCAAGTGTGCAACTCTTTTGTTGTACAATTCCTCAGACTTGACGCTCACATCGTGGGTTGTGTTTAGGGCTGTTCCACAGTCACAAGTGCACATCTAACGAGTTCAACACTCGCAAGTATGTATATGCTACATGCTACGCAGTTGAGCACTTGCAAGTATTTGATTTGCAGTTGCACACTTACATGTATGAAGCAGTTACACACGTGTTGTGCGTTTAGCTTTGTGGTTAATTATTCGCGAAATGTTCGAGTACACTCCAAGAAACGAATAATTATAATTATCCCGTATGTATTTGACTATTGGCTTAGGTTCTTCAACGAATCTTCTTTTTCCGTGCTCCTTGCTCCTGCGGCCACCGCCCGGCGGTTCTTCGCGTTGCGCGGAGTCATCGTCGTGTCATAGCCGCCGCATCAGTCACCCCCACAGCCCTGGCCTCGGACCGGGCTGTGGTGTTCTGCGGAAAGAGCTGCGGCTTGTTTAGGAGAGCGGCGGCCAGGCACCACGCCACGTCCTGTGACTCAGGCCCCTGAGCGGGCCGCGCGCCGCACCTCTCCTG